AACGGACTCCCACTTCATCAAAGCCGCCCAGACATTGCCGCGTAAAGTACACGTGATGGGATTACCCCAGCGGACATTAGGACCGGTCCCCCGGTTTCCTTCAGCGAGATCTAGGTGAACGGTCAGATCCAAATACGATTAATTTCTTAAAATCTACTGTTGACGTACATGTTACTGAACCAGGCTTCTTTGTGAATTCACCACACTGACCCCTGAATTCGGCATGGTCACACATGGTGTCACATGGTAACTCGTGATCACATATGGACACAAGTCACATGGTCATAACTAACGGGATCACGTGGTCAGGTCCGATGACTCGGGTGATGCATGTCATTATATCCCAACTGCGCATGTCGATTCTCATGACGTCAACCGCTGGGTCTTCATGGTCCAGAGACCCATTCCACAAAACGATCGTAGCGCAAAACGATCGTACCTCCCATACTTTGAAATTGACTTACGACGGTCGTAGCGCAAAACGATCGTACCTCCCATACTTTAACATAGACTTACGACGGTCGTAGCGCTAAGGTGATCGTAACTCCCATACTTTAACATAGACTTATGACGGTCGTAGCGCTAAGGTGATCGTAACTCCCATACTTTAACATAGACTTACGACGGTCGTAGCGCAACACGATCGCTTTAAACGGGCCCCAGACTCGATTATAGAGCTGAGGGCGACGTTAATCAACAAACATGATCACACATGATCACATATGGTCTTGCCTAGATGCACGCCAGGTGTGTGAGTCAGCTGTGTGATACAGAATCAGATATGTAGCAGGATTCCACTTTGGTGAAAGGACAGGACGGTGCCGGAAAACCAAAAGGAACAGAGCGAATGTGAGATTCGAACCTACATTCACATGACATGACTGGGTACATCAAGCAGCCTTAGGCGATCGAACCGCCCGTGCTACCTCAGCAGGTACGAAGCATGGTGATACAATCACTCACGATGATCACACATGATCACACATGGTTCGCTGAGATAGACAGCAGGAAGAACCATGCTGATCACAGCCGTCTTGCAGAGTGAGCCGCGATGTCGCTCAGTACGACACATAATCAAACTGATCAATGCCTCTATTACCCGTCATTCCTATATAGTTTGAAGAATTTGCTTCCCGTTTCGTCCATGTTTTTCTGTGGGTTTTTTCGGCACATGTAAACGAATATGACCACGCTTCTGTGAAAAGGTCATGTCCATTTGGGGTATACCACACAACACGTATTGACCACAGAGTCATGTGTCTTAGATCCGCCTCAACCTGTTCATGTTAGATGCGTGGGTTAGGGCACAACGAACAATCATAAAATGTCATTAAAGTTACTGACGCTTAATGAACACGGATCGGGTGACACAATAACGATTCAGAAACGCATATCTTACGCATCTTGAACTTAATATGTGTTTTTTTAAACTGTTGGATACGAGGTCATTGTATTCAAAAGATCTCTGCAGTGATTGCAATGATCGCCTTAGTCTGACGTGGAAGTATGCATACTCTGTTATATTTAGGGCTACTTGCCTCTAGGCAGGAGACCTATTGTAATCGTTCGGATTATTATTATTATTATTTATTATTCCGCCGATTTTTGTACTAAACATATCTCCTAAACCAAAGCTCCGAATCGCTTACAAAACATCACACATATGCCCACCGAGGTGTAGATATTCCCCTTAAAAATATCTAGGCTCTAGGTCCAATAGCAAAGGGGGCATAATTCAAAATTAATTCCACAATTTCATAGTTTGACAGCAAATATCTCAAGAACTAATTGTTCCAACACTTCAAAATCTCTTGTACAGATGCACAATCGAATTCCCAACAATTTTGCCTGGACGGGTCAAGTCGCTAAATTGTACCGTTGGCAGTTATGTTTGTTTTCAGTTTATGGTTCATCAAATATGTGACAGACACAATAGGCTAGATAGAACTGAAGCCGAGGAGCCCTCATCGTTGCTTGCAACTATGTTAGTATTTGTGATTTATTCAACATGCCTTGAGGGTAAACCGTTCGCTTGTTAAGCAGAAGGTCTGTGTTCTATTCTTCTGGTGGTGACGACTTGCGGAGCTGTTTTGTCGCGTCCACCGTGGTATAGTGCTGGAATATTGCGGAAATTGGCGACACAACAGACTCGGTCTATCTCGCAACTTGGGGCCCCATCAAGAAACATTGGCCGAAGTTGCAAACTAAATATACTCTGTTGGTAATACCATCGCTTGCTTGGTGTACATGTAACATATGTTATATTTGGGATTACAGATTCTTGTACTTTTGTAGGGTTGAGTCCCATGAGGGACTCGAACCCACACCCTCAGAGTCAGGCACCTAATCGCCAGCACACAAAGTCAGACCCCTAACCCGCCCAGCCATGGTGTGCATATACCTTCTCTGTGTAGACAGAAGTATATTTTATATAATTAAGTCGATAGTTGAGAAACAGTGTTGATATATCAAAACACCATAGTGTTGTGACGACCCTTGTCTAGGACACTTGTCTAGACAGTTCCAAATTGTCTACTTTTATACAACTCTCCGCCTTCCCTCCTCTTCAGCCCAGGCGAGAGATGGGCGTGGTAGTCTGTGATGTATTCCCTCACGAGGCATGTTCTCACCTGTATAGACAAGGTAATCTGGTTTTCAGAGACTATGTTTAGAATTCCGCGACCCAGGTCAGCGTGTTTTAGCAGTGTCAGTACTATTAGCCCCAACACAGATTTACTATGACTGAAACGCGACTGGCTGCATATTTAGGTAATCTCGGGCGAACCAAACTGGCTTAGTACTGTGTTCCGGTTTATCTATGGAGAATTATCCTTTGAACTCGAGACACGGGCTGAGTGCGGAAAGTTTACCTCAGAGCTCCAGGATGGCTGGACCCCAGATTGAGAAGTAAATGTGTATCCGATGGTCATAATGACTAATTGGGGTGTTGAAGCTCTATATACCTGGATCAGGTCTTGTGTCGTACACTTACGTCTTTGTACACAGCTCCACATTGACTGTGTAGTTTCTAGGTTCCTGGTTCCTAGGTGGTTACAGATAGTGTTGCTGCCTGGAAGCAGTGTCACCACTCGACAAACTTCGTCTCAGGGGGCAAGGCTCTGGTCGCAGGTGAAAAATAATGTCATCTCAACGTCGTAGACATCGCTATACTAATCTAAAAACCTCCACACGTCAACACATCACGTGACATTTCATCTTGCTTTATCCAATAATTGGCTTTCCTGAAACAGTTGGGGCTGTGATTGTGGTGCATAGTGTTAAAACATGTGAGTTATAAGACCGGTACGCTCTGTGATTGTGGTACATTGTGTTAAAGCATGTGAGTTAAGACCGGTACGCTCTGTGATTGTGGTACATTGTGTTAAAGCATGTGAGGTTAAGACCGGTACGCTCTGTGATTGTGGTACATTGTGTTAAAGCATGTGTTATAAGACCGGTACGCTCTGTGATTGTGGTACATTGTGTTAAAGCATGTGAGTTAAGACCGGTACGCTCTGTGATTGTGGTACAATGTGTAAAAACATGTGAGTTAAGACCGGTACGCTCTGTGATTGTGGTACCTTGAGTTAAAGCATGTGAGTTAAGACATGTACGCTCTCTGGAACGAGAATCAGGTGCTTTGTCAGCATATACGAAATCATTTCTAAAGTTCAGGGTCCCGAAAACAGCAATATATACATAGAAGTATCTTAAATACCAATGGTTAAACATTGACTTACGGTAATCGTGTTAAGACCAGAACCTTACAATATCTTAGAAAGCTTCACATTCACAATATTGAAGAGTCTCCAGCTAAAACGTGTGTACGGGGTCAGTCGTTTATGTCACCGGGTACAGACATATGCTATGGAAATATGCGGTTATGATGTCAGTCACGGCATTGTGCAAATATAGGACGTGGTGTGAAGGAAGATGTAATATATAAGTGACTTGACTTTATGTTCACAAGCCATACAAACACCTGATTGAACCCAAGGCTGAGAGCGGATAATCTTGCAAGCGTTCGTCGCACGTAGACAGGATGCCTTACACGAACAGGGAATGGATGGCGCTCTGACGTAAAGGCTCAGAACACAGGAAGTGAAGAGAAAATATTGCTTGAGGCTACAAAATTATTGTTCCACTGGGAATCTCTTACGTTTTCTCAAGCTGAGCGCCCCCGGATGTACCCGAACACATATAATCTGTGTTTGTTTGTAATCGTTCCAGATTTGCTGTTTACCCTCCACATCTACGTTGACATTACCAGTTTGTCTGTCTATCACCCTTGTACATGGATGCTGGCGCTCGCCGTATGAAAATGTGTGCGTGCGTGTGTGCGTGTGTGCGTGTGTGTGAATATGCATTGATACAGCTGAGACATATAGCACCATATACTCCTGCCACCACCACCACCACCACCACCACACTACTACTACTACTACTACTACTACTACTACTACTACTACTACTACTACTACTACTACTACTACTACTACTACTACTACTACTACTACTACTAGCAACAACGCCCATATCTGTACATCCTTATTCTTCAGCTTCACATCAACTGCTTCTAATCCTTTTCATCCTGCAAATTCATGTCTTTAAGTCTGTTTACCCACTCGAACCACCCCGACGAGTACTTAAGTGTATTCATAAATATCCGGAACAGTCGTAATGAGTGCGTCACCTTTCCTTGTCCCAGATTTGTACGCTTGTGTCGAGTTTTTCACAAACGGGATATTAACCTGTAGATACACTGAATCCGGCGGACCGATTCATCCTCCACTTTACCTAATGTATCTATTGTCAGCAACCCTCGTTACCCACGTCCCTCAAACTGATCTGCTATCGTGACAAATCTTGTACTTACACAAAGCTATCCCATACTGAAATCAAACAAATGATGTACATAGTTGTTGGGAAAGTAGCACCTGTTAACGGCGTGTTTAAACTACGATGTGCTCGTGGCCTACAACTTCAATGCCTTCTACAAAAGAGCGAGCATCCTTTGAAATATAACAACCTGTGCGGCTGATCGCGAGCATTTCCACTGAATCAGGCGGCTTTGGAAGTGTCGTTTAATCTGCCACGTCGCTTAACAGCTACAGGTAAAATCATTTAGTTTGTTGGTATGTTAAAGCTTTCTACTTAGCTGTTAAGTCCCAATTTGTATTCTCCGTTCGGTGATGGAACTTCAGTTGAATTCGGCTGTTTTATAGGTACGTTCGTTTTTCTTGTCAATCTGTGTTGATTTATATTTATGTCTGATTCATATAACTGATGCATTTGAAATGTTCTTTCCTGTTACTATGTGATTAATATGTTACTGTTACAAATCGTTTCTTTGAGTTACAAGATGGCATTAAGGCTGGTTGACAAGTGTATAAAATACGTGGTTAATATTCTAATACGGGGGTAAAATAAAACAGAGAAGAGACAAACTTCATTTATCAAATTGTTTCGACAACGCGTCTGATGTGAGAAATTAATGACTGGTTGTACGGCAAATGATTAATTTATCTTGGAGTAATAAATAGAGTGGATTCCACAAAGCGATCGCAGCTTCTTAACATGGCCCTCAACACGGCCCTGAACATGGACCTGAACATGGCCCTGAAAATGGCCTTAACATAGACCTCAACATGGCCCTTAACAAAGCCCCACGGTGGGGTTGGGGCTATATAATCAATATAATCGGGAAGTATTATCACACTGTGGCGTTAAGTGACGGGCATGGCTTAACACCATACCGCTGAACCATGACGGAGACGTACGGGTGGGTTCGAATCCCACTTCAGCCCTGCGCGTCGTGGTCTGACACCACCATATTTCTACTCGTTGCATTACCAAACTGTCAGACACAGGTGTCGCTTCGGCCTTCACTCCAACGATCAGCTGACAGGGCGCGAGTGAGTGAATATGGTTTTACGCCGCTATTCCAACAATATCGTGCTGGTAAACAATAAACCGATCTCACTCACTCACTCACAGTTCACGACAATGTAAATCTCAGCACAACCCTACAGGCATATTATGTTTGGCTGAAAACCCACGCTGTCAATTATTCCCAATGCATTGAATCTAGGTATTTTACTCATGTAACCTGTCTAGGTGTAACAATATTATTTAACATTCATCTTGATCCATTAATAAGTAGCGTGTTGTTTATGTATTTGGAAGACTTATCTGTCGGCAAAACCAAGTGATCTTTATCATCATCATTATAATTCACATCAACTGAAAGTGATCATTAAATATCTGAAGTGATCTGAACACAATTGCCTTTAAAAACTATACCTATGTTCCCAGCTTAACGTATTGGACATTTACCTCAGCGAGAAGACCGTAGTGGCTTTCATCCAGTTGACAATCATGACTTCTTTAACAGCTCGACATGAGCATGTATTATCGGCGTCCGCTGGTGTAAAATGTACAGCACTTGTTTCCATAGAACTCATTTAGAGGAGGACAGATGAGTGTATTGCATGATTTAGTCCCCATTGTTTTATGTTTCATAGCGTGTGACGCCATCATATCAACCTTAAAACCAACTGTTGCATAAACTGTATTATATTTGTACTCGCGATGACGTCATCCATCAAGTCATGGGATGCATTATTCAATCATCAACACGTATATCGACAAAATGATGACACTTGACGTATTGTCCTTCGAACAACGTGGGACGAACAACATGTGCGGTCATGGTTTAGTAAGAAGTACAATCTGTGCACCGCTCACAATCACATCACAGACCACTGACGAATGGATCTCTGTGTTCAGGTGGCTCTTCCGCCAGTTGTCACCACCCCTACACAACATATTGACAGACAAGCCGCCATCATTTCTGTAACAAGTATAGATTCAGTCGTTATTTGGTTGGTTTGTTGTTTAACGCCGCACTCAGCAATATTCCAGCTGTATGGCGGCGGTCTGTAAATAATTCACTCACTCTTTGGAGAGCGCTCTTCGTCATCAAGGGTGTTGCCATTATGACCGGTGTTCTGTAGGTACCACACCCGTGTCTTGGTTGTGACGGCCTTCGTTACTTCGGGCTTCCCTCCCACATCAAGCAGACGCGTGATATAACAGGAATACTGTTAAAATACTGCCCCACACCGACACTGGTTTATGCAAAAACAGACACCGAGGAACCTATCCTGCTGTTGTGATAAGGCTGACACAATTGGACCTATTCGTCCATGGACGTAAGACTCCCGATGGGAATTAGATATTTTGTATCATGTACACCTTTAAACTCGCAGTATACTTTAACCCTGTGATCAGTCCTCATCAGTTTTCCTTGTTGTACATGTGTAACAGCACATGTCTCACACACTGAACTGAATATCAGACAACATTTCTTTTTCTCTCGTCATCTCGCCTGAAATATCCAGGTAAGTGTTTTATGAGGAGGTGTGATGTGTGACTGTCTGTAATCGGATCTCGTGTGGCCTTCAGTTTCCCCGATGGTTCTGGTAGGATGGATTGCCGTAGTGTTAGTTGCTGACCAGTTAACGTGATAGACACCAGTCAGCGGTCAGTGGATACCCACACCTGAACATAATGCATAATGTTCACCTACAGAGACGCTCGCTGGTACGGTAACTGGGGGAGGTGTCGCTGACTCACGAGTCAGCTGATGGCGTTTTACTGGTTCCTTAAATGTCAGTGTTGATGTAATTCTTTTCAACTATGCGTGTACCAATATAGATTTGAAATATTGTCTCTGGAAAGAAACGATTTCCAGAAAATAAATAACGAGTGTAGTAAAAAATGATTGCCTTTGCGCAACACACCTTAAAGGATTGTTGAAGGTCGTTTTAATTTAATGCTGTCATTTCATATATAGAACAGATACTTTGTGTAACAACACACAAGGACTTATACAATGTGTGTAGGATTTGTGTGACAAAACACTGGAGATTATACAATGTATGTAGGCTATGTGTACCAACACACAATTACTTATAGACTGTGTGTAGGCTGTGTGTGACAAAACACAGAATTAAACAATGTTTGTTGGCTTACGTACACTGAATCGTAACTGACGTATTCTTAATCCCGGAGAATCATATGTACCGCTGTTGTACATTAATGCAATTATGATCCTTTATGAACGAGCTGTTTTACACTGGATGTGTGGACGTTTGGAGATACGGACATTCCCTGCGGGTATGTCTTCCCTTTACCTCGTGGAGACCCGACCCCCCGGGGAAATAAGGGGCTCAGGGTGACTGAATCCCGAGAGAACCACGGGGCACCCCCAGAGAATCATGGGAGACTTCGGGTGACCAGACTGAACGGGAGACTCACGGGTATATCCTGGTTGTTTCAGACCGCGGCTTGTCATGACTATACTGTCAGGTGTGTGTGTTCTGCTGGTCCTGACCTTCGGGCAGACGGTGTGGGGACTGGAGGAGGGCTACCGCAGGTGAGTAACGCAGTCTGTGTGTAAGTAGCGTCCCTGAGTGGCGTGCTACTAACTAACATATCAACGGGGACATAATTGACTTCTGGATTCAACGTCTTTATTTTTCAGAAAATAGACAAGCGTAAAGGAGATTAAGTTGTTTGTTTTCAGTTCATGAAATTTCTGCCAGTATTATTTTTATCATTGCTTTCATTATTTCTACCATTTTCAACAAAACATTCAGTCCTTACATGGAAATATGTTTAAGTGTTTAAAGAACTTTTAATATCTGTAATTATGTCTTACTGAGTAAACAATTGAATTCAATATGTCACCGATTTCATAATCTTTACACGTATATTGGTATATATTGTGCTACAATTCTAATAGATGATACTGGACAATAAACATTAACCCACCCAGACTGGTGGCATCAAGCACATTTAATATATATTATGTTAAGTAATCATACTTTATCATAGATCTAAACACGGTTAGGACTAAACATGCATAACGCACACAAAGCCACGTGTGGGTAGGTCTGATGTAGATTCAACAGCTCAGGAGTCCACATTCATCTTTGACAATTCAAGGCCTTAAACTGTGTGTATCCATATAATATGGATTGCAAACAATTGGTCCGTACATCGAAAACTGTCGCACGCGATGTTGTTGGTGTTTGTCGAACTGGTTTCAGTCACAAGGGACATAACTCTATTGGGATCGGACGGTAGAGGGCGCGAGAGTCTATTTAATGCAACGTTACATTAATTCATTCGAACGTTTTCATTTAATATTGTAATGTAAATGAGTATATTTTTAGAAATTATTACATGGTAGCTATCCTGAGGGCTGTATCAGGGAAATGCATCATTTATTTTTAGAGAAGTGTGGTGTGAAATAGTGCCTTTAAGTTGGGGGAAAACCCCAAGGTGGTGCGGGTCTCCAAACCTGGAAACATACTCATAGATGTCTAACACGGCCAGGGAACGCTACTATGTACAGCAAATTGTTGTAACGACCAAATGTCGGCAGTTCAATTTTCATTAGACCGAATCTGGGAACGACGGATCCTGGCACACCCAAGGCACATAACTCTGTGTGCACTGCGAATTATGACGGCTCTGTCATCTAGCGCGTATTAAAACAAATCCCTTCATTCTAAGCACATTCAGCTCCATCAGAAGCTGGCTGACAAATATACCAGGTATCCTTCAAAAAGTAATTACAGTGTTAAGGGCCACTGGTAAATGTCGATACGTGTAGAGAAAATGTGTAGCAAGGAGAGGCGTTGAGTGGGTTTGTGTATAATTGTCCATCAGACCTTTGATCACATGATTTGCATTTCAAAGAGATCCAGTGTATATAAAAAAAACTCATTTAGAACGTCTTTGTTGCAGAAATGTCGTAGGTCCTCAGGCCCATTATAAAAATCTTTGTGGATAGTAGATTTGCCGAAATAGCATGCAATTGTTTATATCACATGACTTACTGTATGTGCAGTATAGAATATCTGATGTAAAACGGTGTTTTGTCAAATAGTAGGAGAATTCAGTTAACAGGGTCCATGGTATTCACCGCGTACAAAACAATCATTCCACCTGATAATCTCCAAGTTTTACATTTCTAATCTACTTATCTGTAAAGTACAGAAAGGTAATGAAACAGATTCAAACGTTCAAGTATACACATGGAAGAAAGTATTGCATCATCCCATATTTTCCTTAGCATCAATAGCTTGACACCAAACTTGTCGTACTGGAGAAACCAAGTTCTATAGATCTGTACAACTTCTACAAAGTCTATCAAAGGATCTTGTCGTAGTGGAGAAACCAAGTTCTATAGATCTTTACAACTTCTAAAAAGCCTATCAAAGGATCTTGTCGTACTGCTTTGTTGTCTGGGGTTCAACGTCTGTCAGGTCGTCTTGCTCTATACCCGGCCAATGTGATTTCGAAACATTCTGTTGGGAAAACGACGACGTGGAAGACACACTTTTAACACGGAGAAGTCTTGCGTCGGCCTGAACGCTGACGGTCCTTGACGTCATTAGTGTGCTGATGTTTTCCTGATGACAACCAACATCTCTCGCGATAGCCGTCAATGATCATGACATGCCAGCATTACCCATACTACGACGTGCCCCTTGTCATTGGTTGGTTGGTTGATTAACGCCGCTCTCAGCAATATTCCAGCTTCATGGCGGCGGTCTGTATAAAATAACCGAGTCTGGACCAGACAATCAAGTGTTCAACATCATGAGCATCGGTCTACAGAATTGGGAACCGATGACATGTGTCAACCAAGTCAGCGAGCCTGACCATCCGATCCCGTTAGATGCCATTTTTTTCCAAGTTATCGAACTGAAGAATTGTTTCCTTAAAATCGATATTATTTTTAATGATGGCTTCCATGTAATGATGTTCTCCTTTGATTATAGCACATAGATATCTGAAATCAATGTTTGGTGCGCACGAAGGGTAAAACAATATCATACAAGCATAATTATGTTATGAATATAAATGGCTATACAGGGGTTACAAATCACAGGTGTTGCGCTACTTTTTCCATGCGTATATTTAATTGCATGTCTGCCATTTGTGATAACAATATCGGGTGTTATCTGAGAAGGTGGAATGTGGTTCATCTTAACACCTAGGTTATTAATTTTAAACATTTAGATATTCATGGAATGATTATCGTTGAATCGAACGGTGCCGTTTCTGTCGAATAGTTCCTAATAAACGTATTCCAGATTACCAGCGAGGTGAAATGTGGCAAGGTTATTGCACGTGAAAACTCGTCAACGTGTGTGTCCTCACAAGCCCTTGACTACTAGCTGACGTTTTACATGTCCACCACTCTCAGACATATATCCACCCACTGTTATATTCTATTAATGAAAGGCACGGTAACAATTAATACCACCCTCTAACGTCCCTGTGCATGACATCTCCGGGTACGGAACCACTGACCTTCCGCTCTCCGGCCAAGTCCTCTGTACACTAGAATCACTGTGACGGAGTCGTGGCAATTGTATAGGTGCTGACGTTCATAACTAGAGCGTCGGAAAGGATAACGTTTCGCTTTAATGAGGTTCCATTGTATGTCTTATTCGTATAAATGAGGTTTTATTACAATTATTGTTCGCATTAATCCGGTTTCACTGTATGAGTTATTTGTGTTCAGACTTTTATACTCACAGCAAGTTGAGGAGAAATAGGAAGCATGTTCAAGCGAAAACATTGTTTATGGCCCATTTGAATGAGTATGACGTTTGACCGACGAGTTTTGACTATTGACTCGGGTATATTTACCCATAGATATTGACCTCGGGTCAAATAGAAAAGTACATGTTTACATGATACTACGTAACACGTTGTAAAAGTAATCCCTAGTTGGATATAAGCCCCGGGTTAGATGGGAGATGGTAAAACACGACAGAGCTTCACCTTCTTTTGGACTTCATCTGTGACGTCATAATTGATGTCGTGTGTCACAGAGCGGCTGTAAACAAATTAGAGAATAGCCAATGGGGTCAATTACGGATTATCTGTTCCATGTGAGGTATTGGTTTTAACTTCCGAGCAACGGAAAACTGTCACTAATACGCCAATCAGCGTGAAGTAAGAATTACCCTGCTCATTAACTACTATTGGGAACATTTTCCGTGCCCTATGGGAAATTTTATAAAAAAGACACACGTTGAGTGTTCAGATTATTAATGATAAAACTCAAGAAGCAATTGCGAGACCGTCATTACATGTTAACCTGGAGTTGTCATAACTGAGTATGTTGTCAGGATCCTGCTGCAGGAAGTCATGTGATCCAACCACGTGCCTGCGGGCGTCGATGGGGGTGGGGTTGGGGTGGGTGGGGTGTGGACAGCCTTTGTTGATTGCGTGTCTTCCTATCCAGACTGGTTTCTTTGTTGATTAGCAAGGCCAGCTTTACGCCTCTGGTCCTAACCGTAGACGGGAACCCGGTCGCGCCCTATCCTCACACATTAAGATGTTAGTGATGTGAGATGTACATTGAGATGCAATATTGTTTTCTTCTTCAGCTACAAACTGGTGAAGGTGGATGCACCATCGCAAGAACAGCTTAACAATATAGTGACAGGTCGAGACTGGGTAAATACTAAATAGAATATGTTCATACAACACCTTCCTTTGTTCATACAACACATTCCTGTGTTCATACAACACCTTCCTATGTTCATACAACACCTTCCTATGTTCATACAACACATTCCTATATTCATACAACACATTCCTATGTTCATACATCACATTCCTTTGTTCTTACAAAACATTCCTATGTTCATACAACACATTCCTATGTTCATACAACACATTCCTATGTTCATACAACACTTTCCTATGTTCATACAACACATTCCTATATTCATACATCGCATTCCTATGTTCATACAACACATTCCTATGTTCATACAGTACCTTCCTATGTTCATACACCTTCCTATGTTCATACAACACCTTCCTATGTTCATACAACACATTCCTATGTTCATACATCACCTACCTATGTTCATACAACACATTCCTTTGTTCATACAACACATTCCTATGTTCATACAACACATTCCTATGTTCATACAACACCTTCCTATGTTCATACAGCACCTTCCTATGTTCATACAACACATTCCTTGTTCATACAACACCTTCCTTTGTTCATACAACACATTCCTATGTTCATACAACACATTCCTTGTTCATACAACACCTTCCTTTGTTCATACAACACATTCCTTTGTTCATACATCACATTCCTTGTTCATACAACGCCTTCCTTTGTTCATACAACACATTCCTTTGTTCATACATCACATTCCTATATTCATACATCACCTTCCTATGTTCATACAACACATTCTTTTGTTCATACAACACATTCCTATGTTCATACATCACCTACCTATGTTCATACAACACATTCCTTTGTTCATACAACACATTCCTATGTTCATACGACACATTCCTATGTTCATACAACACATTCCTATGTTCATACAACACCTTCCTATATTCATACATCGCATTCCTATGTTCATACAACACATTCCTATGTTCATACAACACATTCCTATGTTCATACAGCACCTTCCTATGTTCATACAACACATTCCTATGTTCATACAACACCTTCCTATGTTCATACAACACCTTCCTATGTTCATACAACACATTCCTATGTTCATACAACACATTCCTTTGTTTACCTATGTTCATACAACACATTCCTATGTTCATACATCACCATTCCTATGTTCATACAACACATTCCTATGTTCATACAACACATTCCTATGTTCATATTCCTATGTTCATACACACATTCCTATGTTCATACACACATTCCTATGTTCATCCTTCCCTATGTTCATACAACACATTCCTATGTTCATACAACACCTTCCTATGTTCATACAACACCTATGTTTACAACACCTTCCTATGTTCATACAACACATTCCTATGTTCATACAACACATTCCTATGTTCATACAACACCTTCCTATGTTCATACAACACCTTCCTATGTTCATACACACACATTCCTATGTTCATACAAACATTCCTTCCTATGTTCATACATCACCTTTCCTATGTTCATACAACACATTCCTATGTTCATACAACACTTCCTATGTTCATACAACACATTCCTATGTTCATACAACACATTCCCTATGTTCATATACAACACATTCCTTTGTTCATACAACACATTCCTATGTTCATACAACACATTCCTATGTTCATACAACACATTCCTATGTTCATACAACACCTTCCTATGTTCATACAACACCTTCCTATGTTCATACAACACCTTCCTTTGTTCATACAACACATTCCTTTGTTCATACAACACATTCCTTTGTTCATACAACACATTCCTTTGTTCATACAACACATTCCTTTGTTCATACAACACATTCCTTTGTTCATACAACACATTCCTATGTTCATACAACACATTCCTTTGTTCATACAACACATTCCTATGTTCATACATCACCTTCCTATGTTCATACAACACATTCCTATGTTCATACAACATATTCCTTGTTCATACAACACCTTCCTTTGTTCATACAACACATTCCTTTGTTCATACATCACATTCCTATGTTCATACATCACCTTCCTATGTTCATACAACACATTCCTTTGTTCATACAACACATTCCTATGTTCATACAACACATTCCTTTGTTCATACATCACCTTCCTATGTTCATACAACACATTCCTTTGTTCATACAACACATTCCTTTGTTCATACATCACCTTCCTATGTTCATACAACACCTTCCTATGTTCATACAACACATTCCTATGTTCATACAACACATTCCTTTGTTCATACAACACATTCCTATGTTCATACACACATCACATGTTCATACAACCATTCCTTTGTTCATACAACACATTCCTTTGTTCATACATCACATTCCTATGTTCATACATCACATTCCTTTGTTCATACAACACATTCCTTTGTTCATACAACACATTCCTATGTTCATACAACACATTCCTTTGTTCATACAACACATTCCTTTGTTCATACAACACATTCCTATGTTCATACAACACATTCCTATGTTCATACAACACATTCCTTTGTTCATACAACACACCTTCCTATGTTCATACAACACATTCCTTTGTTCATACAACACATTCCTTTGTTCATACAACACATTCCTATGTTCATACAACACATTCCTTTGTTCATACAACACCTTCCTATGTTCATACAACACCTTCCTATGTTCATACAACACCTTCCTATGTTCATACAACACATTCCTATGTTCATACAACACATTCCTTTGTTCATACAACACATTCCTATGTTCATACAACACATTCCTTTGTTCATACAACACATTCCTTTGTTCATACAACACCTTCCTATGTTCATACAACACCTTCCTATGTTCATACAACACATTCCTTTGTTCATACAACACATTCCTTTGTTCATACAACACATTCCTATGTTCATACATCACCTTCCTATGTTCATACAACACATTCCTTTGTTCATACATCACCTTCCTATGTTCATACATCACATTCCTTTGTTCATACAACACATTCCTTTGTTCATACAACACATTCCTATGTTCATACAACACATTCCTTTGTTCATACAACACATTCCTTTGTTCATACAACACCTTCCTATGTTCATACATCACCTTCCTATGTTCATACAACACCTTCCTATGTTCATACATCACCTTCCTATGTTCATACAACTCCTTCCTATGTTCATACGACACATTCCTATGTTCATACAACACCATCATTTGTAAACGACGTCGCACACTCCCTCACTTACCCATTAAGATGCTCAGTGGTTCAACTCACTCACCAAATACTTGCCTGTCGGAAACTGTTAGCTGGATGTTCAGTAACGGACGTGTTAATACCCGCGATTAAATACAGACAATATGAATTTACAGAGTTTCGCACGTATATCGAGATCATCCTCGTTGTTCCAGGTGGATGTGTTCGGCAGCGAGGGGACGAGTCTGACCGCGATGGTGCCGCCCCAGCTGCTGGGAGAACTCATCCAGGTTGTCAAGAGTCAAGGAGGGAAACTCACTGTCATACACGAAGATATGGAAAAGTAAGTACAACCCCAGTTCGGTTAATCATTGACACAGAGTCTACGTTCGAAGCAGCTATCAGCCGCAACACCTGGTCCTAGATTTTCGAAGCTCCCTTAGCGCTAAGATAGTCGTAAGTTAATGTTAATATATGGCACTTACGACTATCTTAGCGCTAAGAGAGCTTCGAAAACCTAGACACAGATGTCTGTGTCTTGCTTAGCAAACATTCTGTAATTCATTGAACTAAACTGTCAGTGCAATGTTCTGCTTGTTGCATTGTTACAGAATGTTACACTGTGTTACAGACCAACATTGGTTGCATTGTTACAGTATGTCACACTGTGTTACAGACCAACATTGGTTGCATTGTTACAGTATGCTACACTGTGTTACAGATTTACATTGGTTGCATTGTTACAGTATGTCAGACTGTTACAGAGTAACAATGGTACCCAGTGGCTGCAGTGTTCTGCTTGTTGCATTGTTACAGTATGTTATACTGTGTTACAGACTAACATTGTTGCATTGTCACAGTATGTTACACTGTTACAGAGTAGCCGAGGAGGAGTACCGAGAGAGGATGAGGCACAGACAGAGGCGAGCCACCACTTCAAAAGAAGATGACCTTCTCGACTTCCTTGATCTGAGCAGGGTAGAGCAACTTTCTACATCTTAGTAGTACACATGGTATCTGGCAGAACGTGAATCACATCAGAATCATAGATTACAACTACTCTTTTAGACACCACGTCTCGTAAACAAGTTCTTGCCAATATAAAGATGGAAAGATGGAAAGAGTGTTCGCTCGTTGTGCAGAATATATGGTTCGAATCCCATCATGAGTGCATGTTTATTTTGTATCACCCAACCCTGAAGCTTCTTACATATGTCTAAACGTGGTTCGGAACCGTTCTCACTCACTCACTCATTAAAATACTTTCTTAATAATGAACTTGATTACCATTCCAGCAATATGCCTTCCAAAACAAAATATTAACTGGGTCAAGCAGAGCTCATTTGGTCAAGGAACGGATCGGGCGGTCATCAGAAAACAGAGACATCAACTTGATCAGGGTACGTCTCCTTGTTTTCATAATTTAAATTTAATTTTTACTCACTCATTCCTTGTTTTAATCACTTCTTCAAGCGACACAATGCTCTTCTGTATTACATGCCGGCCACCCGGTTGATCTGGACGATAGTTCACGAATGACGCTTCGTGTTTATGCAGAAATATCGCTTTAACTGAATTATGTAATGGTTTGGAAGGTGGGAACGCAGATTAACGGGGTCCAGGTTTTGATGAGGTTTACGTGTATGCTGCTCAGAACGGAGAGAACCTCCAAAACACAAGGTAGTCATTTTACGATCGCTTCCTTGTCTCATAGTGTTGACAGGGTACTATAACAATAGACCTGGTTAAGTCAACACAAAGTCTCGACCTGTATACAATTATAATCGGAGTTAATCTAGGATTCGAACTAAGACTCACATACGTCTCCACGGTGAACAGTGCCGCGGCTGAACCAACTGGGCCACCCAAGCTAGCTTCTTCTTACACTTGTGTAATTACTCTGGTTTAGTTGATCATGTGACGTTGTTACATGTTCTTTTCCTCCCAGATTTCGGCGGATGCATCTCAGCAAAAGAAGAGAACTATTTTCATTGACGCTGGTATTCATGCGCGGGAGTGGATAGCACCGGCCACAGCGAACTACATCCTGTACCAGGTAACGTCCCCGTGGGGGGTCCGGCTTAGCACCAGTCCCCAGCAACTTATTCTGGTCGTTAGGGGTGACAAGGTGGATCAGGTGTTTTACAAGGTGGTCTAGTTGATTGTGTGTCATCGTACTCAGGCGGTGTGAATTGTAGCTCACTTTATCGATCACGGGATTTACTTCACAGTCGTTTGAAATCAGTGCATGTGTTATTTTTATGTAGATATAATAAGATTTTATGGTGGAAACCTCGGTATCCCCTTTCTATGGAACTTCAGCAGGCTTGATCTACACCGATGTATAACTGTGTTACTATGACAACCATAGTAATAGCTGATAGCACCCTTGTCGCCTCTCATCCTAGCAAGATTTTAACTTTAAAACGGAAAACTGTTTTCCAGTCTCTCTTACTTGCCGGGGTTATCTTACCTAGATATCTGTGAACATCCGGGTTAGAATTGGTCTTCAGCAACCCATACTTACCGTAAGAGGCGACTACCAGGATCGGGTTGTCAGGCTTGTATACAAATCACTTGATTGTCTGGCCCAGACTTGACTATCAACAGACTGCCAGAGATTCTTACGTGGGTTTAGACACATTATAAGAGTGCTTCACATCATAGGAGCGCCAGCTGTTGCGCATTAATGATCTCCACGCATACCTTCATGGGCATGTCAACTTTACGCTAACCAAAGCATTATCAATGTGTGCATGTGTGTGTCTGCATGGTGTGTTTTCCGTCCTTCATCACCTTCCCGCTCAGAATCGTTGTATCCAGTCATTCGCCCGTTTGAATGAGTATCCGTCCACCATGGAAAATATATATAATTCTTGTAATAAATACCCACGCTGCATTTTGTAGTAATGATAGTTGAAGGAGGGAAGTAGCTGGGCATATGGCTTTTTGTTAGGTTTGAAGCAGACCTTTTGTTTCTGTACCTGGCTTCAAGGGTATCGACACCAGCAACCACTCACCTGAAGCTGTGTAATAATACTCATATAATATTGTTTGGTTTCAGTTGGCGTACAACGACTCGTCAGCAAGTTTACTCAGGGACTTTAACTGGGAGATTGTTCCTGTCCTCAACCCAGACGGATATGGGTATTCACACACGGTGAGTTAAACACTCCCTCTGTGGTAGAGTCACACACAGGGTAACACACGGTGAGTTAAACACGCCCTCTACAGTGAGCAGTTAAACACGGTAGTTAAACACTCCCTCTGTGGTAGAGTCACACACAGTGAGTTAAACACGCCCTCTGTGGTAGAGTCACACACGGTGAGTTAAACACTCCCTCTGTGGTAGGGTCACACACGGTGAGTTAAACACTCCCTCTGTGTGGAAGGGTCACATGGTGAGTTAAACACTCCCTCTGTGGTAGGGTCACACACAGTGAGTTAAACACTCCCTCTGTGGTAGGGTCACACACAGTGAGTTAAACACGCCCTCTGTGGTAGGGTCGCACACGGTGGGTTAAACACTCCCTCTGTGGTAGGGTCACACACGGTGAGTTAAACACTCTCTGTGGTAGGGTCACACACAGTGAGTTAAACACGCCCTCTGTGGTAGAGTCACACACGGTGAGTTAAACACTCCCTCTGTGGTAGGGTCACACACGGTGAGTTAAACACTCCCTCTGTGGTAGGGTCACACACGGTGAGTTAAACACTCCCTCTGTGGTAGGGTCACACACGGTGAGTTAAACCCGCCCTCTGTGGTAGGGTCACACACGGTGAGTTAAACCCGCCCTCTGTGGTAGGGTCACACACGGTGAGTTAAACCCGCCCTTTGTGGTAGAGTCACACACGGTGAGCTGAACCCGCCCTCTGTGGTAGGGTCACACACGGTGAGTTAAACAAGTCCTCTGTGGTAGAGTCACACACGGTGAGTTAAACATTCCCTCTGTGGTAGGGTCACACACGGTGAGTTAAACACTCCCTCTGTGGTTATTGAACTGAGTACACCCCCTGCTATAGGGTCACCCACGATGAGTTGAGCACACCCACTTCAACTGGGTAACACACGGGGAAATGACCACACCCTCTATGCTTGCGTCACACACTCTACCAAACCTCCTTGTCAGTCCCCATAGTGATATTATGAGTCCTAGTGTCCAACGAATCTCACAGCTATGGCTGACTTTCAGCAAATGGAACATTCGTCTAAGCGTTACAGACACCCCCCCCACCCCTTAAATTGAAAATATATTGACGAGGCTGATGCGGTTTCTTCCTTCTCGGTGGATTGTTGTTGATATATTGACGAGGCTGATGCGGTTTCTTCCTTCTCCGTGGATTGTTGTTGATATAGTGACGTGGCTGATGCGGTTTCTTCCTTCTCGGTGGATTGTTGTTGATATATTGACGAGGCTGATGCGGTTTCTTCCTTCTCCGTGGATTGTTGTTGATATATTGACGTGGCTGATGCGGTTTCTTGCTTCTCCGTGGATTGTTGTTGATATAGTAACGTGGCTGATGCGGTTTCTTCCTTCTCGGTGGATTGTTGTTGATATATTGACGAGGCTGATGCGGTTTCTTCCTTCTCCGTGGATTGTTGTTGATATAGTAACGTGGCTGATGCGGTTTCTTCCTTCTCCGTGGATTGTTGTTGATATAGTAACGTGGCTGATGCGGTTTCTTCCTTCTCCGTGGATTGTTGTTGATATATTGACGAGGCTGATGCGGTTTCTTCCTTCTCCGTCGATTGTTGTTGATATAGTAACGTGGCTGATGCGGTTTCTTCCTTCTCGGTGGATTGTTGTTGATATAGTAACGTGGCTGATGCGGTTTCTTCCTTCTCCGTGGATTGTTGTTGATATAGTAACGTGGCTGATGCGGTTTCTTCCTTCTCCGTGGATAGTTGTTGATATATTGACGTGGCTGATGCGGTTTCTTGCTTCTCCGTGGATTGTTGTTGATATAGTAACGTGGCTGATGCGGTTTCTTCCTTCTCGGTGGATTGTTGTTGATATGTTGACGTGGCTGATGCGGTTTCTTCCTTCTCCGTGGATTGTTGTTGATATATTGACGTGGCTGATGCGGTTTCTTCCTTCTCCGTGGATTGTTGTTGATATATTGACGAGGCTGATGCGGTTTCTTCCTTCTCCGTGGATTGTTGTTGATATATTGACGAGGCTGATGCGGTTTCTTCCTTCTCCGTGGATTGTTGTTGATAAATTGACGAGGCTGATGCGGTTTCTTCCTTCTCGGTGGTTTCTTCCTTCCACTCAGTGAGTTGTTGTTGATATATTGACGAGGCTGATGCGGTTTCTTCCTTCTCCGTGGATTGTTGTTGATATAGTAACGTGGCTGATGCGGTTTCTTCCTTCTCGGTGGATTGTTGTTGATATGTTGACGTGGCTGATGCGGTTTCTTCCTTCTCCGTGGATTGTTGTTGATATATTGACGTGGCTGATGCGGTTTCTTCCTTCTCCGTGGATTGTTGTTGATATATTGACGAGGAGGCTGATGCGGTTTCTTCCTTCTCCGTGGATTGTTGTTGATATATTGACGAGGCTGATGCGGTTTCTTCCGTCTCCGTGGATTGTTGTTGATAAATTGACGAGGCTGATGCGGTTTCTTCCTTCTCGGTGGATTGTTGTTGATATATTGACGAGGCTGATGCGGTTTCTTCCTTCTCCGTGGATTGTTGTTTATATAGTAACGTGGCTGATGCGGTTTCTTCCTTCTCGGTGGATAGTTGTTGATATATTGACGAGGCTGATGCGGTTTCTTCCTTCTCCGTGGATTGTTGTTGATATATTGACGAGGCTGATGCGGTTTCTTCCGTCTCCGTGGATTGTTGTTGATATATTGACGAGGCTGATGCGGTTTCTTCCTTCTCGGTGGATTGTTGTTGATATATTGACGAGGCTGATGCGGTTTCTTCCTTCTCCGTGGATTGTTGTTGATATATTGACGAGGCTGATGCGGTTTCTTCCGTCTCCGTGGATTGTTGTTGATAAATTGACGAGGCTGATGCGGTTTCTTCCTTCTCGGTGGATTGTTGTTGATATATTGACGAGGCTGATGCGGTTTCTTCCTTCTCCGTGGATTGTTGTTGATATAGTAACGTGGCTGATGCGGTTTCTTCCTTCTCCGTGGGTTGTTGTTGATATAGTAACGTGGCTGATGCGGTTTCTTCCTTCTCGGTGGATTGTTGTTGATATATTGACGAGGCTGATGCGGTTTCTTCCTTCTCCGTGGATTGTTGTTGATATATTGACGAGGCTGATGCGGTTTCTTCCTTCTCGGTGGATTGTCGTTGATATATTGACGTGGCTGATGCGGTTTCTTCCTTCTCCGTGGATTGTTGTTGATATAGTAACGTGGCTGATGCGGTTTCTTCCTTCTCCGTGGATTGTTGTTGATATGTTGACGTGGCTGATGCGGTTTCTTCCTTCTCGGTGGATTGTTGTTGATATGTTGACGTGGCTGATGCGGTTTCTTCCTTCTCCGTGGATTGTTGTTGATATATTGACGTGGCTGATGCGGTTTCTTCCTTCTCCGTGGATTGTTGTTGATATATTGACGTGGCTGATGCGGTTTCTTCCTTCTCCGTAGATTGTTGTTGATATATTGACGTGGCTGATGCGGTTTCTTCCTTCTCCGTGGATAGTTGTTGATATATTGACGTGGCTGATACGGTTTCTTCCTTCTCCGTGGATTGTTGTTGATATAGTAACGTGGCTGATGCGGTTTCTTCCTTCTCGGTGGATAGTTGTTGATATAGTAACGTGGCTGATGCGGTTTCTTCCTTCTCGGTGGATTGTTGTTGATATAGTAACGTGGCTGATGCGGTTTCTTCCTTCTCGGTGGATAGTTGTTGATATAGTAACGTGGCTGATGCGGTTTCTTCCTTCTCCGTGGATTGTTGTTGATATATTGACGTGGCTGATGCGGTTTCTTCCTTCTCCGTTGATAGTTGTTGATATATTGACGTGGCTGATGCGGTTTCTTCCTTCTCGGTGGATTGTGGTTCATACTATCAGTCACAGGATTGTCTGGTCGAGATGGAATTGTTCACAGGTTGCGTCGTGTAGTTGAATATCACTTTGTGGGGCGTTAAACAACAAACATGGCTGACTGATGACACTGTAAATGGCCAGCGAGATTTAATACAGGATTCTCTGTTGAATAATGCCACTGTATATACCTTGTACATTTCTATTTTAGTCCACCCAGACCAGGTACTGGAGGAAAAACCGTCAAGCAAACGCAGGCAGCCAATGTATAGGCACTGACCTCAACAGGAACTTCGGCTACCCTGAACATATGCCAGGTGAGTACACGTCTGTCTTCATCTACTCAGGTAGCATGTATTCTGAAGAAGGCGACTGTGCTCCACGGTCTGTTGAACAAGTGCCAAGTGTATGTTTGTTGTAACCGTCATCGTTTCCGCCTAAATATTGCACTGTTGTGTTAGAATGACTTAAACCAAACCTGCAGGGGCTGCCAATTTGCTTGAAATCAATGCCCCTTTAAGGTGATGAGTCAGTTTTTACGTGTTTTTTGTTTTTTTTGTTTGATGGGGCTTTGAGTTCATGGCGACAAGTGATCCCGATGTGCTGTGTGTACCCTAGATAACTGAACACATGTTCAGAAGTGTACGGTACAGGCTCAGACGGACGACCATCATATAAATATAATGCTCTGAGTCAGTTCATGGTAAGCTTTAGGACCATGGTACACATATGGTTCAGATCTGTGGGACATATATGGTTCAATTCTGTGGGACATATATGGTTCAGACCCATGGTACATATATGGTTCAGATCCATGGTGCATATGTGGTTGAGGTCTGTGGGACATATATGGTTCAGATCTGTGGGACATATATGGTTCAGATCCATGGTACATATATGGTTCAGATCTGTTGGACATATATGGTTCAGATCTGTGGTACATATATGGTTCAGATCCATGGTACATATATGGTTCAGATCTGTGGGACATATATGGTTCAGATCTGTGGTACATATATGGTTCAGATCCATGGTGCATATATGGTTCAGATCTGTGGGACATATATGGTTCAGATCCATGGTACATATATGGTTCAGATCCATGGTACATATATGGTTCAGATCCTATGGGACATATATGGTTCAGATCCATGGTACATATATGGTTCAGATCCATGGGACATATATGGTTCAGATCTATGGTACATATATGGTTCAGATCCATGGTACATATATGGTTCAGATCTGTGGTACATATATGGTTCAGATCCATGGTACATATATGGTTCAGATCCATGGGTACATATATATATGGTTCAGACCCATGGTACATATATGGTTCAGATCCATGTTCAGACATATATGGTTCAGATCCATGGTACATATATGGTTCAGATCCATGGTACATATATGGCTCAGATCTGTGGTACATATATGTTCAGATCCATGGTACATATGTGGTTCAGGTCTGTGGGACATATATGGTTCAGATCTGTGGTACATATATAGTTCAGATCCATGGTACATATATGGTTCAGATCATTGGTACATATGTGGTTCAGATCCATGATACGACACGGACGCATCAGACATTCTCGCCTGTTTGTTATTTAGGACTGATCTTGTGATGTGGTGTATGAGTTGAAACAAGCAGCAGCCCAAGCAGTGAACTGACAAATATTTATATCAATCAGGGCCGAAGACTGAACGAATTCCCGCGCAGCTATCACTTTGCACCACATCACGTGATGTTGTACTCATCGAAGTCAACACACTGATACGTGTGTACACAAGAACGGATTTCTCCGGGAGAGCGAGCATCGCTTGATCAGTTCCAATCACAGTGTGTACTCTTTGTGTTACAGGCGCCGGTGGCAGCTTCAACCCCTGCAGCGACATCTACTCTGGTCCTACCAAGTTCAGTGCCCCCGAGTCAACAGTTCTGAAGGACTACCTTGACACGCACAACGACACCATCGTGGCCTACCTCAGCCTCCACTCCTTCGGCCGCTACATCCTCTACCCCTGGGGTTACAGTCGCGACGTGACGCCACCTGATGCGACCGAGCTGGTAGGTGTGGTTCATGTGGGGATCACTGTCTTCAATTTCGTAACCTGCCGCGCTTAATACATCATTCAGGAACCCGCTGGTTGTTTTGTTCGAATTGATTTAATTTTTAACCTTGATCTATGTACACATTTCACCCGAGTTTTACGACGACCTCCCCCGTTGTCTTGACGTCACCCTCCTTCCACCCCCTGGAAGACAGGCCCTGATATAACGGGAACACTGGTCCAATCTGTTATGCCAAACTCACACTCACTCACTCACCGCCATTATTACATATAATGTCTGTTACTACACTAGACCACGGCGTCACCGTGTCCTTTATGTCTGTTTCGGATGTTTCCTGATGTGCGATCTGGAGGCGTGTGTGGATGTTACAGGATGTGACCTGTGACGATCTGGGAGATGGGTAGTGTAGGTCCTATTGCTATTTCCACACAAATAGGGCGGTGGGGTAACCTAGTGGTTAAAGCGTTCTCTCGTCACCATACCCATTCACTCACTCACTCTCTCTCTCGTGTTTTCAGGAGCGAGTGGCTCAGGCCGCAAACAGCGCCATGAGTCCTGACTACACCACAGGAAGCTCCGCAAAAGCACTCTGTGAGTAGCCCATGTCTTTCTCCACATTTCCCATCAATGAGCCATGGTGTACAGACAGGATTGTATGAGTTATGTGTGTGGTTAGGCCCGGGATTGTATGAGTTATGTGTGTGGTTAGGCCCGGGATTGTATGAGTTACGTGTGTGGTTAGGCCTGGGATTGTATGAGTTATGTGTGTGGTTAGGCCCGGGATTGTATGAGTTATGTGTGTGGTTAGGCCCGGGATTGTATGAGTTATGTGTGTGGTTAGGCCGGGATTGTATGAGTTATGTGTGTGGTTAGGCCCGGGATTGTATGAGTTATGTGTGTGGTTAGGCCCGGGCTGTATGAGTTATGTGTGTGGTTAGGCCCGGGCTGTATGAGTTATGTGTGTGGTTAGGCCCGGGCTGTATGAGTTATGTGTGTGGTTAGGCCCGGGCTGTATGAGTTATGTGTGTGGTTAGGCCCGGGCTGTATGAGTTATATGTGTGGTTAGGCCAGGATTGTATTAGTATATGTGTGTGGTTAGGCCCGGGCTGTATGAGTTATGTGTGTGGTTAGGCCCGGGCTGTATGAGTTATGTGTGTGGTTAGGCCCGGGCTGTATGAGTTATGTGTGTGGTTAGGCCCGGGCTGTATGAGTTATGTGTGTGGTTAGGCCCGGGCTGTATGAGTTATGTGTGTGGTTAGGCCCGGGCTGTATGAGTTATGTGTGTGGTTAGGCCCGGGCGTGACTGGTTGGGAGAACAGGAAGCATCTAACTTGCCCTTGCTATTTTAAAGTCAAGGAATTAGGAAGCGGATGGGTGATCACCTGATTCATGTAAACCTCCCGAATTAAGAAGGTTAAGATCACCGATGAGATTAGCAAGTAATATTCTCGATTCTATTAAGACAAATACTGTGGACATATTCACCAACAACGCTGTTTTGACGTTTCGACGGCAGTGACGCCACCACCTCCATCATTCCTATCTCTAAGGTACGGGTTAGAATTGGAATTCAGCAACCCATATTTGTCGTATTAGGCAACTATTGTGATCGGGGGATCAGGCTCGCTGACTTGATTAACACATGTTACTGTATTCCTGTAGATCGATACACACGATGTCAATCACAGGATTTTCTGGTCCAGATTTGATTATTTACAAACCGCCGTCATTTAGCTGGAATATTGCTGGGCGTTATACAACACACTAACAAATCCTATGGAATATTGCTGGGCGTTATACAACACACTAACAAATCCTATGGAATATTGCTGGGCGTTATACAACACACTAACAAATCCTATGGAATATTGCTCGGCGTTATACAACACATTAACAAATCCTATGGAATATTGCTCGGCGTTATACAACACACTAACAAATCCTATGGAATATTGCTGGGCCTTATACAACACACTAACAAATCCTATGGAATATTGCTGGGCGTTATACAACACACTAACAAATCCTATGGAATATTGCTGGGCGTTATACAACACACTAACAAATCCTATGGAATATTGCTGGGCGTTATACAACACACTAACAAATCCTATGGAATATTGCTGGGCGTTATACAACACACTAACAAATCCTATGGAATATTGCTGGGCGTTATACAACACACTAACAAATCCTATGGAATATTGGCGTTATACAACACACTAACAAATCCTATGGAATATTGCTGGGCGTTATACAACACGCTAACAAATCCTATGGAATATTGCTGGGCGTTATACAACACGCTAACAAATCCTATGGAATATTGCTGGGCGTTATACAACACGCTAACAAATCCTATGGAATATTGCTGGGCGTTATACAACACACTAACAAATCCTATGGAATATTGCTGGGCGTTATACAACACACTAACAAATCCTATGGAATATTGCTGGGCGTTATACAACACACTAACAAATCCTATGGAATATTGCTGGGCGTTATACAACACACTAACAAATCCTATGGAATATTGCTGGGCGTTATACAACACACTAACAAATCCTATGGAATATTGCTGGGCGTTATACAACACACTAACAAATCCTATGGAATATTGCTGGGCGTTATACAACACACTAACAAATCCTATGGAATATTGCTGGGCGTTATACAACACACTAACAAATCCTATGGAATATTGCTGGGCGTTATACAACTAACTAACAAATCCTATGGAATATTGCTGGGCGTTATACAACACACTAACAAATCCTATGGAATATTGCTGGGCGTTATACAACACACTAACAAATCCTATCTCCAATGCTGCACAGAAAGTATGTCGCTCATGAGAGTACTTTCATTGGATGGTCAGTGTCATGTGATATAATCGGGCTCTGAAAGTAGCCACAGTACCGAATGCATCCCTCGTGTTTCGTGTTTTTATCACACAAGTTTGGAGACACTAGACCAAGGTCAATCAGGATGGTGACGACAAGGTTAATAAGCATTGTCTCCTTCCAGACGTGGCGGCCGGGGGTTCAGACGACTACGCTAAGGGCGGCTCTAAGATCGACTTCAGCTACACCATAGAGCTGCCTCCAGGGATGGGCAGCAGATACAACTTCGCCCCACCCAAATCTACCATCACCAACTTTGCCAGCGAGGCGTGGGACGGGATCAAGGCAATGGCCAAGGAACTGGCCAAAGTAACCACGATCGCGGCGACGCCAACAACGAGGAAGACCACAACGACAACTACGACGACAACACAGAAGCCTATCCCTGACCAATCTCCATATCACTGGCTATATCAGTGGCTGAAAGACCAGGGTGTTATTTTGGGGAAATAAAAAGTCTGTTGCTAGGTAGATGTGCCAGAGATGGGTCTGTCTTTTCTTTAACTTGATTTGAATTTCTTCCCTTCTAGAAAAATATCGAATGCTCCACCTGTATGGATGTGTCAGGCAGCTAGGCGAGATGAGGTAGAATGGGGCTTTGAGCACCGTGTATGCACGTTTACTAGCTAATGTCGGTGTTATTGCGGTTCTCCACTGCCATACCACAGCTTAATATGGATACCTCACTCAGACGCAGCAGAGAGTCTTCGTGCCGACCAGTGCTTGCTTTGTCCCCGTAATTAAGTATCACAGTTTAGCGTCGTTTGGTATGCTGCGACCCAGGATCGAACCACCGACTCTCGGTACTCGGGGCAGACGCTTTGCCCACTACACTACGGAGCCGGTTTCGTCTACTGGTTAGGTAAGGCAGTATCTGACAGCCGGGAGAAAATTCAGGCTGTTCTCGAAGTACGACACATATACAACCAAGTAGCGCATTTGTTGTTTTACAAGCAGTGGGAATGATGGGTCAGTGTCGTCCCGGAATCCCATGGTTTCCAAAAGAAACGCTTTCTACCATCAGTGTTCATTCATTTGACTACACATGAAGCAACAGTTAAACTCAACTTTCAGTGGTACTTCAGTTACATCATGGCGTGTCAAGTAGATGTGGGAAGACGACATGAACTGATCAGGTCTTAGGCGTTTACCACTCTGCTGAAGAATCACGTGTGCTAACACGGTGCCGACAAGCCGTGAAACACCATCTGGGATTCCATCCTGCTGTCAAATGTTTCCGTCAAGATCAAGGGACGCAACTCCTCACAGCGAATATTGAGCTTCAGACGACTGAGCACCCGCGTCACTGTTTTGCACTTAAATACGCTGTACATTGATCAGCAGTCCAGCTGATGTACCGAGTATGGCATCTAACATGAATCAAGGTTCATATTATTGTCTTTACTTCACGACATTACATGAATGTGCGTTTGACTAAACACAATAGTCCATGGGCTGATATGGTGACCCTAACACAGACACACCGCAGTATATTTTGAAGGGATATCTATCCCGCCGTGATCCCCCAAAGGGAAAGGTGTTTTGGAGAAATTAGTTATTTCTTAAAATTTCACAAAATACATCCAAATAACTGCTCTCTATCAGGTACAATATATCTATTAATTAGTTAGAGGCACAGGAAGACTATAACTTTGAAAACTGCATTGCCTTCTAAGCGGGAGTCACGGCGCGTCACCCATATCAGCTCATGGACACTACCTTTGACTCTCTATAGTGTTGTCTACGCGTTTCTACGTGTTCTTTACATTGGGACTTATTAAGTCAATTTAGCCAGTACAGGGCTTGGGCAACTTCAGACAAGTGTTAGTTTGCCACGTGTTATACTTAGGGTTACACTTTCTCAATAATGTACAGATTTAAGTACTTTTAGTAGGCACCTATTAGCCTTTTGCCTAATGCCAACACACAAAATCTAAATGGTATCGAGTATTCATAGCTGCCTGACTCTGAGAGTGTGGGTTCGAATCCCGGATGGTACCCAACCCAACAAAAGTACTTTACTGAGAAAGTGTAATCCCATATATGACACTTGTTACATTCGACCACTTTGTAAATGCCATCGTGTATTTATAGCTTTCATTTCACTATAAAGTAGTTCTCTTTCAAATGGCCCCTCATAGGTTCTAGATATTAGTTTGTATTGACAAATAAATAGTGACACCTTCCACCCGAACACACTATACTGACTCGATGTACATACAGATTTAAATAAGATTATGTTGTTATATGATGATAGTCTATATCACACATCAGATGTTCTTTAACGTCTTTTGTTCTTTAACGTACACCTCACAGCCCATGTGATGTCCACATCAACTCTCTTCAAACAGCATCCATCCATGTTGCACTACAACTACAGCACTGTATCCAGTCCTGTATGTTTCAGTTCAATTCGGGGAATTCCTTTCCCCGGCGAAATAGCAAGTCAGTTCTGATTAACATTGATTCTTCTCTTCCCACACATACATGGACAGAAGAGCTTGAAGAAGACTCTCCTGAACCTACGTCCCAGCAGACAATAGAAAATAAAGTCTGTAGCTGAATTAAGACACAGCATCGTGTCGCTGACGGCAAACAGGTACACCTTGTGAGGGGTGGAAAACATGTCCAGGTCGGCTAGTAACAGAATATGGTATGTGAGAGGGATGACGCAACACACAAAGAAGCAGGTAGTGATGCCGAGGACGATGATGGTCAGTCCATCTTCCTTGTCGGTTGGAGAGACGGACGGACGAGCGTCGTGACGGGAACTGATGGCTCTGGTGACCCTGGCGCTGATACGGAGGTGGACGATGAGTTTGATGTTGATGACGATGATGATGGTGTAGGGGAGGATGTAGAACACCACCATCGTCAGGTACACCTCGTACACTCGGGAGTACAGGTAGTCCTGGGATGTGTCGGACTGGGTCAGGGTGCCGTTTTCCACCCAGTCTGTTGACGACAGTTGGTGGAAGACCAGACATCGGGGGATGTTGAACCCAAGCGAGAAGATAAAGACGCCGATTGCTACCCTCCTGGCGTTGTTCATCGTCCAGATGGACCTCGCCCTTAGCGGCGTCACGACAACGATGAACCGCTCAACGGTGACGGCAACGATGGAGTAGACGGATCCCATCTGTGAGATGTAGCGGAATGGGTAGAACAGGGTGACCGTGATGAACAGATGGTCCTCCTCGTACTCCGGGAGGCCGGCAATGATGACGACAGCGCCGGTGAGGAGGAAGAGGGTGTCGTACACGACGAGGGAGATGAGGAGGATTGATGTAGCGGACCAGATTGACTTGTGAGTGAGAACCCGGATTGATACGATGTTGGCGATGATGCCGAAGCATGCGAGAGCAATCCTGACGACGCCGAGAATGAAGAAGGGGAGTAAGGAATAGGACATCATCTCGTCGTCCACGTTGTCAACAGATGCCATGGCTCTACGTACAGACCGTGCCCAGTTCTCCCTCCTGACTTAAATTTGTTTTGTTCCTTAGCACGTTAACGCATAACAGTGTCAATAGATGTGGCTAGCGTGACTCGCTGCCATACTTAACACGTCCAACAAAGCATCGGTGAAGGTAATTACTAAGGCCATTCTTCTCTTTAACAATGATGAGCATTCATCTGGCTTTCTGACTCCACATCTCACACAAGTACAGTTACGTTCCAATCTCTGCCACCGGCCACTCAATATGCTCCACTGAGGGGCACAGGCAATCTGCAAAACAAGCAAACCTAATTACAATATAAAACCGTATTTTCAAACCGGAACCAAATTTCTGAACAAATTTTCGAAAAAGCTGAATAGGATGGAATCTCTGTTTATGGTCTTACGTTTATGTCAATTAAGTTCACTAAATCGATTTTCTTGGTACAGTCGCATCATTGTCGTGGCGCTAGCGACCAGAGTAACTGATGTTGAAGAGCTAAGCATGTATGCAATAGTCAGTAAGCTAGTGAGTGAATAGTGCGTGACGCCGCAGCAGTAATGGAGCAGGTATTCACGGTGTCTGTTTCTAGCTATTTCTCAGACATCTAAGGAAACCTGCGGCATACTAAACTGTACTATCAACTGATTTGATAGGATTTCAGCTATCGATCAACATACGTTTGTACATGCTACACATGAAACACTGGAAATCGTCATTTAACAATGTGATGTGTTCCACACAAATGCAACATACATACTATGCACACGCACACACACGCACACTCACACACACCATACAGAACAACACACACACTTTAAAGTCGTCTCAGGCATAGCTCCATGTTGTCCATCGAGTGGTCAAGTATTACACATAGATAGCTTGCTATTTAATGACATATTTATACTTGGTTAAGAGACGAAAACACTCTATTGTCCCGGGACCGGGATGGAATAGGATCTGAGAGGAGTTTTGATAAGTGTCAAGGCGCCGAGGCTGTCTTGAAATGATGCCACGAGTCCAGCTAACTAACGTGATCCGCCTGGAAGTCATTGTTTCAATGTGACGTCATCGAGCTAGGTGTCTATATTCCGATATGGAAGGATCATCTGGTTAAAAGAAACCAGAAACCACGAAACACTCCCAGCTCATCTGTGCATTCCGTCCGAATTTGGGGACCGTTGGAAGCCCACTTGGTAACCAACCCCACAGTCAAATCATTGTTCACGTGGTAGAATTGTTTGCCACGAACTAATGCTGAACCTCGTGACTAATGTGTTATCGGACATTGGTATGAAAGAGATAAAACACTATTACTGTTTGCTAAAAGCAACACTCCTTAGGAAATATGTTTTAATAATTTTCGTTTCCCAAGAACATCGTGATTTTAAATTAGTTTATGTTTTCTTTCAAACACGCTGCACCAAGTTACGCTGGTATTTTATTCCCGGGACGCCAGTGTTTAACGGCTGGTATATCATGACAACGTGACTTCCGTTTAGGTACACAACGTTTCTCAGATACATGGACATACCTGTTGTTCAGTCTACCAGTCTCGCAACACGGTGCACGATACACCTACTTGCACGTGCTACTGGGAGCTTATTGCCCTGTGCCATCATTTTGACTGCTGTTAAGACAACCAGAAGAAGATGTCTGTACAGCGCCACACAGCGGACGAGTGTTCTATCACCTGTACAATCACTGACGTTTGAAGTGTAAGGTGACCGTAATGTTTTATGAGATGGTGCTGCAAGAGATTTTGCTGGTTCCACCTGAGCTCAGCGGCCATACATGAGTCTCGCACCCAACGATCTGAGCTCAGCGGCCATACATGAGTCTCGCACCCACCGATCTGAGCTCAGCGGCCATACATGAGTCTCGCACCCACCGATCTGAGCTCAGCGGCTGTAGACTCGCACCCACCGATCTGAGCTCAGCGGCCATACTGTAGTCTCGCACCCACCGATCTGAGCTCAGCGGCGTAGTCTCGCACCCACCGATCTGAGCTCAGCGGCCATCTGTACTCGCACCCACCGATCTGAGCTCAGCGGCCATACTGAGTCTTGCACCCACCGATCTGAGCTCAGCTGTAGCACCCAGATCTCTCGTCATACTGTAGTCTCGCACCCACCGATCCGGCTGACAGATGATTAGACTGATTTTTTAACCTTCTACAAGTAAAATCTAAGACCGTTGTTTAATATCTTAATAAAAAAAACTTAAATGAGCTTAGAGTATCTCGTCATACCTGAATTACATTAATCTAAGACTTGCCAACCTTCATACATAAACATAGGTATTGGATATAATTGTTTCAGGGTCTGTATGGAAGACCAAGAGATGATGTCCACGGCTTGTCTAGTGGGTTTCCGACCACCTAACCACCTCGCGTAGACAGATATTTTTGACATGTTATACCACCCAGTAGCGACCATCATTACTTATTTCATAACGCCAAACACGCGAGTGCTAGCTAGTCAATGACGGCAACAACATCCCTCACTCCCCCATCAGGTGTCGCCGCACGGTGCTGCTTCTGCATTCACTGCGCGCATAAACCGACAACCGGCGCATTCACGACCTGGTGATTGCTGGACTCCCCTAGCTTCCTGGCAATCCTTTCCAGCTAATAACACACGGGAGATTAACATCTCACCAACACATAGGAGATAAACATCTCACTAACACACGGGAGATTAACATCTCACTAACACATAGGAGATAAACATCTCACTAACACAAGGGAGATAAACATCTCACTAACACACGGGAGATAAACATCTCACTAACACATAGGAGATAAACATCTCACTAACACACGGGAGATTAACATCTCACTAACACACATGAGATTAACATCTCACTAACACAAAGGAGATAAACATCTCACTAACACAAGGGGAGATAAAACACAACACAAGGGAGATAAACATCTCACTAACACATAGGAGATAAACATCTCAGATAAAACACAAGGGAGATAAACATCTCACTAACACATAGGAGATAACATCTCACTAACACAAGGGAGATAAACACTAACACACATGAGATAAACATCTCTCACTAACACGGGAGATAAACATCTCACTAACACAAGGGAGATAAACATCTCACTAACACAAGGGAGATAAACATCTCACTAACACACATGAGATAAACATCTCACTAACACACATGAGATAAACATCTCACTAACACACATGAGATAAACATCTCACTAACACACGGGAGATTAACATCTCACTAACACATAGGAGATAAACATCTCACTAACACAAGGGAGATACATCCTTAAGCACAAAGCTGATGCGTTTCTGCTGAGCACTACATATATGATTGGTTTCTCCTTTCAGGCGTTAGCTCGTTACGCCAAAGCCCCGATTTTGATTCCCTAAACGGATGCACCATGTGTCTTCTAATGTCGTCCACCAACATATACTCATTGAAACAAATAACGGAACGCATGAAAGTACAGGTGTTCCTTTATTCTTTTTCATAATTTCACCAACAGTGCAATACAAAGCTTGTGAAGAAACCTGGAAAAAAATAAAGGAACAGTTGTACTTTCAGGTGTTCCCTTATTTGTTTCCGTGAGTATATGTTGGTGGAAGACATTATTTCTATAACACAGGCATTGGTTCGGGCCAGCACATCATGCGCGCTAACACGCACACACTCACGTGCATGCACGTCGCTATATTACTGGAGTACTGGGCGGTACACCCCATTCACTTTACCCCCTACACTTAAAGAAATATCTAAAGTATACATCAACAAAAAGGATAATATATCCGACTTGAGCCCATAACACTGCTTCATATTTCAGAGATTAGGCAACCTGGGCTGCTAAATCTTTCAGCATTGATTTGGATTCATTCTGTTCTTAAGTATCCTAAGTACAGAATGTTCACCTTCTACAAGTACAGAATGTTCACCTTATACAAGTACAGTTGCAGGAATCCTGGCCAACGTCGACAACGACCCCTATCAGTCATGCTCACAGGTGTCTGGTATTTCGGGAGGTGTGCTACTGATTAATGAGGGCAAACGAATTAACACAGAACCACGAGTCTTCCCCATCAAGAACATGTCGAACTGGACAAGGTACAGCTTCAAGAAGTCCGACTGTTTACCCCGGACAGCAGTGGTCATCGGGCAAGTTCACCTTAACACTGGTGATACCTGTTGTCTGACGGGTCTGATGACGTGGTGATACCTGTTGTCTGACGGGTCTGATGACGTGGTGATACCTGTTGTCTGACGGGTCTGATGACGTGGTGATACCTGTTGTCTGACGGGTCTGATGACGTGGTGATACCTGTTGTCTGACGGGTCTGATACCTGTGGTGACGGGTCTGATGACCTGTCTGACGGGTCTGATGACGTGGTGATACCTGTTGTCTGACGGGTCTGATGACGTGGTGATACCTGTTGTCTGACGGGTCTGATGACGTGGTGATACCTGTTGTCTGACGGGTCTGATGACGTGGTGACACCTGTTGTCTGACGGGTCTGATGACGTGGTGATACCTGTTGTCTGACGGGTCTGATGACGTATACCAATAGGGACGCCATGTAAGAATGTGTCCCCAGCAACGCATGTTGAGCAGGACCCGTTCATTGCGTGCTATCGGGTCCCCATGTGGCTCACAATATCTATCACTGGTTTTTCTGGTCCAGACTCGTGAATTTACAGGACGAGGTCAACTGGCCGGATATTGCTGTGTGTTTAACAACGAACAAACAAAAAAACGGTATGTGCATGGTATGCGGTATACTTTACGCGTTATGTTATATCCGCTGTGCTGTATGCGGTATGCTAAGATGAGAGTCGGGCTGCCGCGTCGTTAACCGCCCATGGCATGAGGATCGTTGTCGCGTCGTTAACCGCCCATGGCGTGAGGATCGTTGCTGATACTTTCAGTCGCTGACCAAACGTCGATTATCACTTATCTCGAACCATAGCATACTACGGAACACAACACTAACTCACCCACCCCAAAATAAACCGGACAGGCGGTTAATAACACAAAGTGAAATCATATCATTAGAATGACAAACAGCAAAAATATGCGCCATTCTTGTTTCCTTTCCGGATTTTCTGTTAGAGTAAATTGACCATTCTGACATCCGATCCGACCCCTATTTCAGTCGCTAATCAAATTCTGCACAAACTCCACGCCTGCCTTTTCATCCCCTCATCTACAGAGTGTTTACCCCCGGGCTGTGTGCACGTGTCGGAGTGATCCCGGTAATTACTACATTTGTAAGTTAAGTACCTGTCTTCTTCTCATCGAGGAAATACTCAAACAACCCATCTCACAGAACTTGCTACTTTGCAGCATGGTCCGACGATAACGGAGATACCATCTGGTCTGGTCACGACTACGTCAACGATTATGTAGAAGGTGGATTCTTGGGAGTTCGGACATGCACTGAACGCTGAGTGTATTTAGACAATGCGAGCTGGCATGTGTACAGAGATAGGACAAGGTTCTTCTGTAGACAGGGTCTGCGTAATGTGAACAATAAGGAAAACTTTTAGTTAGAACTGGATTTGGGAATATTTGTTTTCAATACTCGCATGTAGAAGACTTAAAACTAACTGTAAACCAGACCAAATAGTGAGTGAGTGGGATTGTGAGTCAGGCAGGGCAACAATAATGTAACAGACAGGGCAACCATAGGTACCATCTTCTAACGTCAGTCAGGGCAACAATAGGTACCATCCTCTAACGTCAGTCAGGGCAGCAATAGGTACCATCTTCTAACGTCAGACAGGGCAACAATAGGTACCATCCTCTAACGACAGACAGGGCAGCAATAAGTACCATCCTCTAACGTCAGACAGGGCAACAATAGGTACCATCCTCTAACGTCAGACAGGGCAACAATAGGTACCATCCTCTAACGTCAGACAGGGCAGCAATAGGTACCATCCTCTAACGTCAGACAGGGAAATCATAGGTACCATCCTCTAACGTCAGACAGGGCAACAATAGGTACCATCTTTTAACGTCAGTCAGGGCAACAATAGGTACCATCCTCTAACGTCAGTCAGGGCAGCAATAGGTGCCATCTTCTAACGTCAGACAGGGCAACAATAGGTACCATCCTCTAACGTCAGACAGGGCAACAATAGGTACCATCCTCTAACGTCAGACAGGGCAACAATAGGTACCATACTCTAGCGTCAGACAGGGCAACAATAGGTACCATCCTCTAACGACAGACAGGGCAGCAATAGGTACCATCTTCTTACGTCAGTCAGGGCACAAATAGGTACCATCCTCTAACGTCAGACAGGGCAACAATAGGTACCATCCTCTAACGTCAGACAGGGCAACAATAGGTACCATCCTCTAACGTCAGTCAGGGCAGCAATAGGTACCATCCTCTAACGTCAGACAGGGCAACAATAGGTACCATCCTCTAACGTCAGACCAGGTAACAATAGGTACCATCCTCTAACGTCAGACAGGGTAACAATAGGTACCATCCTCTAACGTCAGACAGGGCAACAATAGGTACCATCCTCTAACGTCAGACAGGGCAACAATAGGTACCATCCTCTAACGTCAGACAGGGCAACAATAGGTACCATCCTCTAACGTCAGACAGGGCAACAATAGGTACCATCCTCTAACGTCAGACAGGGCAACAATAGGTACCATACTCTAGCGTCAGACAGGGCAACAATAGGTACCATCCTCTAACGACAGACAGGGCAGCAATAGGTACCATCTTCTTACGTCAGTCAGGGCACAAATAGGTACCAACCTCTAACGTCAGACAGGGCAACAATAGGTACCATCCTCTAACGTCAGACAGGATAACAATAGGTACCATCTTCTAACGTCAGACAGGCCAACAATAGGTACCATCCTCTAACGTCAGTCAGGGCAGCAGTAGGTACCATCCTCTAACGTCAGACAGGGTAACAATAGGTACCATCCTCTAACGTCAGACAGGGCAACAATAGGTACCATCCTCTAACGTCTGACAGGGCAACAATAGGTACCATCCTCTAACGTCAGACAGGGCAACAATAGGTACCATCCTCTAACGTCAGACCAGGTAACAATAGGTACCATCCTCTAACGTCAGACAGGGTAACAATAGGTACCATCCTCTAACGTCAGACTGGGCAACAATAGGTACCATCCTCTAACGTCAGACAGGGCAACAATAGGTACCATCCTCTAACGTCAGACAGGGCAACAATAGGTACCATCCTCTAACGTCAGACAGGGTTACAATAGGAACCATCCTCTAACGTCAGACAGGGTAACAATAGGTACCATCCTCTAACGTCAGACAGGTACCATCCTCTAACGTCAGACAGGGCAACAATAGGTACCATCCTCTAACGTCAGACAGGGCAACAATAGGTACCATCCTCTAACGTCAGACAGGGCAACAATAGGTACCATCCTCTAACGTCAGACAGGGCAACAATAGGTACCATCCTCTAACGTCAGACAGGGCAACAATAGGTACCATCCTCTAACGTCAGACAGGGCAACAATAGGTACCATCCTCTAACGTCAGACAGGGCAACAATAGGTACCATCCTCTAACGTCAGACAGGGCAACAATAGGTACCATCTTCTAACGTCAGACAGGGCAACAATAGGTACCATCCTCTAACGTCAGACAGGGCAACAATAGGTACCATCCTCTAACGTCAGACAGGGCAACAATAGGTACCATACCTCTTCTAACGTCTGACAGGGCAACAATAGGTACCATCCTCTAACGTCAGACAGGGCAACAATAGGTACCATCCTCTAACGTCTGACAGGGCAATAATAGGCGCGGTGGTCAAGGTTCGAATAGAAGTAATTCTAATATCACGAAAAGATAAACGTTTCTGCAGCCAGTTACCTGGGCTGCAAAGAATACACTATATGAATACACTATGAAGCGAATACGATATGTTTTACGAATATGCAGTGACGAATACGAGTAATTATTCATGAATACTTTATGTTTAATATCAAGGAATAAAGAAAAACAAATATATCATGCAAATACTTAGATTGGAACCTTTACATATTTTCTGTAAAGCAACTGAACAATACCTCGCTAACAATTTCACCTACAGTTCAGTGACACACAATTATTGGAATTTCCATTTTGCGTATCGCACTTAGATAAACAACATACCAGGACACTCTGATATAAATGCTAGTAAATATGTTCTAATGACCACGACTAATGAATTGAATTCATGAAGGCAATACGGTTTGGTTCACAGATAACGCGAGTGAATCCTTTAATGATAAATACCGAGAGATAAAATAAGCAACGCTACAGCAAAACGTGTTACACGTGAGTCATGAAATGCATATTGATTCAGCATCGACAGCGGGGTTCACCTGGACTAACAACTAGTCCCTGAAATGAACATATTTTACTGAAAAAGGTTCATAGTAAAAAAAATAAATAATATAATGAAAAGGAGCCCTGAGACTTTCTTCATTTTCAGAAGCTGAAAAAATCTAGACTTGCCACATTTTCTAGACTTGCGTGGGCTTTCTTGGATATATTTGCTTCAGGGTCTGTACGACAGTCTAGGGTTGACCCTGTAGACGGCAAATATTGGACTGTATATGCTCCAGGCTGTATCAAACATACGGGTAACGTGAAGCACTAATTTGACAACAAAACAGCGAGTGGGTGAGTGAGTTTGGTTTAACGCTGCATTTAGGAATATTCCAGCAATATCAAGGCGGGGAACACCAGAAACTGGCTTCACTCACTGTACCCATGTGGGGAATTGAACCCGGGTCTTCGGCGCGACGAGCGAACGCTTTAACCACTAGGCTACCCCAACCCCACAAAACAGCGATGCATGCTGACAGCAAGCTCGTTGTGAGCGTTAATTAGGGTC